GCATCGCCCCACACCACTCTCGAAATGTGCAAAATGAGAACGAACTTTCCGCTAGAACATGGCCAGATGCGCCCGCCACATTTTTGTTTTTTTCACACTGTGTGGCGAGGCCGTTACTCCTTTCTGTCTGCCACTGTGTGTGCCTGTGATCCTCACTCGCCGCCAAACCCGCGTTTTTTTTTTTTAAATTTTTAATCAAGAAAAAACTCGCGTTCGAACCCGCGTGTTTGATCGACCTTCGTTTTTCTTTTTTTGTCCCTTTCTTTTCCTTTCTTTGTTTGGAACCCCCTTCTCCTTTTTCTCTTCCTCTATACTGCTACACTGGAATCGTCTTCCCACCATCTCTCTCCTGTATCCACCTACCTCGCATGAGTGTACCCTAACTCCCCATCTGATCCTGCGGCTCTGGCATTTGCCGTCAAAGACGCCGGCGCACTCAACGTTCCTTTGCAGATTGCTATGTGTTATACCATGATACTATGATGCATTGTTGCAGGCTGGTGGTGTTTCTACGGCCAGTCGCGCTTGTGATGCTGTGAATCTTAGAAAAACGTATCTGTGCGCCGCAGGGAGGCCATCTATCACGCGACACGTGTGTGTTTTTTCTCCCCCTCTTGCGTTGACACAGACGCAGAGAAAGTCCCTCTGTCCGTGTGTGAAATAGCAACTGTGCCCTCCTCTCTCCCTCTGTGTCCATGTTCAATCTTTTGTGTTGTGGAGCTGTGTATAGAACATGACGGAGCACACGGACAGAGGGAGAGAGGAGGGCACATTTGCAAATTCACACACGGACAGAGGGAGAGAGGAGGGCACAGTTGCACTTTCTCCCGGAGGATGTGGTGATAATACTTGCAAGGCGCCGCGGTTAGCGGCTCTCCTCTCTTGCTCTCTCTCTCTCGTTTTTCTTTTTCTATTTTCTTCCCCCGCCCCCGCCCGCCCCCCCCCCGCCCCCCCGGGGCCTCTCTTTCTAAGCATTCAAGGTTAACCGTATTGTGAGTAACAGCATGCTATTGGGTACTTTACTCTTTTTTTCTGAGTTTCACTAACTTCTACTGGTGAACTGATATTTTCTTCTGAAGAACTCTCTCTCTCTCTCTCTCTCTCTCTCTCTCTCTCTCTCTCTCTCTCTCTCTCTCTCTCTCTCTCTCTCTGTGTGTCCAACAGTTTTTGCCGGCCTGTCTCTGTCTGTCCGTTTGTCTGTGTCTGTCTGCCTGCGTGACGGTGTCTGTCTGTCTACCTGTCTTCCTCCTTTCTTATTCTCTGTAAGCACATACCCGCTGGCTCCTCTCTCTCTCTCTCTCTCTCTCTCTCTCTCTCTCTCTCTCTCTCTCTCTCTCTCTTTCTTCACAGACACATTCAGGCGTCTCTGTTTCGCACTGTGCCTCCTCTCCGTTCTCTCTTTTCCAAGGGCGCATGCGCGCGCTGTCTTGGGAACAAGCTCGCCCAGAAACACATGCCGATTGGAATGCTGAGAGCTGATAGTCGACGTGTGTTCTTTACTGCTGTGTGTGGTGGGTCGGTCAGTGGGGACAATTATGGGAAGACCGGAAAAGAGGAGAGGTCAGGCGAAGACTGGTTGAAAACTTTCGTATTCTGAGATGAATAGGGAAAAGGAAAAGAAAAAGAAAAGAAAGGGATGAACTTAGAGGCTACGGATTAGTGTAAAATTTAGACAGACTTTGACGATGATTGGCATTTTTTATTTGGATTTTTATGACCGGATTGATTAACTTGATTGACTTGATTGATTTGATGTGATGACGATCGATTGACATTTTCGATTTGCATTTGACACCGATTTGATGCAGGAATAAATATCGGCGAGGTTTGCGTCAAATGGCTTTTGCTATAATACCAGCATCATGATCTCTCCCGCCCCTGCCATTTCAACGTCGTTGTTTTCTGTTTAAAAAAAAAAAGAAAAGAAGCAGCCAGCCACTTCCGTCTTAGCTCGCTGTTGCAGAACGATGAGACCCAGAAGCGCCGTCCTCTTCTCTTATCTTAGCTGTTGTGCTGTTCAATATCGAAGCCACTTGGCGGCAATTTCAAGGGTTTTCCACATCCCTTCATTCCCTGTATCTCTCTTCTTTTCAATCAAGGTTTGGCTTCACAGTGTATTAACTGCAGGTTAATGAAATACTCTTCCTAAGAAGAAGAAGAAGAAGAGGAAGAACAAATCAGTAAGAAGAAGAAGAAGAAGAAGGAGAAGAAGAAGGAGGAGGAGGAGGAGGAGGAGAAGACAAGATGGAAGAGGAGAAGGAGATGGCTGTGGAGTGGATGTTGGAACTGTGAATCGATGAGCAAGTAAACATTGGAAGAAGGGAGAGAAGGAATATCAACCGGGAGACGGAGGGAGTAGAGAGGACATGTGTCCCCACCATGCTACTGATCATCTGAGAGAACTGGAGTTGGATTTCCTGTCATCATGTCATGAATCTCGAGCATGGAAGCGAGTTACGTGGCAGTGTGCGAGAGTTCTGTGAGTGATGACGATCAAACTGCGTATCCTGCTTAGCTCGCTCGCAGAATGAGGACAAGATATGCTGACACTTGTTTATTCTTGGCTACATCGACCTGTGCGATCGAGATATGGATGCAATAGAAGCTAAGTCTTCTGCTCGGGCCACAAGGGCTAAAAACCTCAGGCATAAGGGCCACGGAAAAGGCGGGAGGGGTCACAATCAAGGTGGTGGGGACCACAACAAGGTGGGAGGACGATTCCTTGAGGACTCTTCACCCTTTGCCTCTGAAGCACAGAGGAGGGAAAGAGAGCCATTGGCGGGAAAGACGTTCTATGACGGCAGTACGCGCGCTAACGTTGCTAAGACTAGTGTGGCCAAGCATGGTCTAACAGAAGGAAGAGGAGGAGGAGGTGGAGGAGGAGGAGGAGGGTCTGTGGAGCCTGTGATCGATGATCGCTACAGCCGGGATAGTGATGCTGTATGGAGGGCTGGAGGGACTGCAGTAGGCCGAACTGCGTCTTCTGGCAGCAGAATTGGACTGAACATTTGGCAGTCTGACGATGATGGTAATCTCGCAAAAGCATCTCGTACCAAAGAAGGGAAGGCAGAAGAAGAGGGTGACAATTGGCATTGTCGACGTGATGATGACATTCTATATGACGCAGATGAGCGATTGTCCAGTAAAGAAGCAGCAGAAGTAGGAGGCACAGCGGCATTGCTTGCAGGTGCGGAGCAGGGAGGGCAGGCGTTCATTGCAGTGCCTGTCTCAAGCCAAGGAGAAGACTATGCAGCCCTGCTTGAACACCAGTTTGGGGACTTTTCGTTCACAGCAACAGCTCGGTTAAAGTCCTCTTGGAGATTCTCTTGCAGATGGGAGGATGGGGATCCCAACGATCCTCTCTGTCGGGATATGTTCCTACCTTATCAAGAAGAAGGGTCATCCAAGGCAGCAGAGGCTTCACAGAGGGAACCCAAGGAAGACCTGCTCTCTGTGGATGTAGACGACCTTGCTGATGCGCTGGCAACCATGCCATGGTCCTTTTGTCTTTCGGTTGAGGATGAGATCCTTCCCCAGGAGATGAGGAGGGGGAGACCAGCTGAACCCTCTTCTAGTCTAGAAGCATCTAGTCCTCGGAGGAGCGATTCCATCGAACACACCGAACGCGCGAAGGAGGCTGATATGACAACAATGTCTGGCAGAGACGAGGGATCTGCTCGCAAGAAATTTGATGCATTGTCCGCTGAGGGCGTTGAGGGAACAGGATGGATGCCAAAGAACCCTCTTCACGCTGTGGAACATGTAACTGCGATTGCGATGACAGCAGATTCTCGCAAAAAAGTCGAAATGGCATCGTCATCTGGTGAAGGAAGGACAATGTTGACAAATCATTCGGATCTGATGTGGACCTCGACTTCAGTAGAGAGACATACTGCCGCCTCTCCAATCCCTGGAGCAAGCGATGACGAGGGGTTGGTAAAGACCCCCGGCAAATCAGATGAACAATGGAGGGAGCAGAAGGCCTTGTCCTATAATACCCCTGCGGCAGCGGGACCACAGGGGGGGTTGTGGAGGAATAGACATCAGGAAAGGGGGAGACCTACCTCCTTGCAGGAGGAGGAGAGCAAGGCAGCCGCCGCTGCCACCACCGCGACTCGCGTTAGTCCCCCAGATGATGGTTCGGTCTTCTCACCGTCGTCGGCCGATCTCGGCAAGGGTGTACGGCCGGTCCCCCGAACTAATAAGGGAAATCACCCTGACTTCAAGAAAGCCCCGTCGAAAGAGAGAGATATGTGGGGTAAGGATGAAGAAGGAGACCTGTGGCGAGGTGAGGTTTTGTCGGGTGACAGCAAGCTAGTAGCAAGTAATAACCAAAGAGTCACATCTACTAGTCAAGTGACCGGAAACTACAGTGGTACTAAGGCCAGTGCAGAGGGGCAAAAGCAGCATGGTGATGCTATTTTTAGAAACAGAATTGGGACAGAATCCAGGATCACAAGTAGCAGATCAACTGTGGATGTAGGGGGGAGCCCAGGCTGCCTGAGGCCAGAGGATGAGCTTGATGACCTCCTGGATGTCCTGGACGGCACGTCTGTGTCTGGTCTGCGGTTGCTACGCAGGGAGATACCGGCCACAGCTACCCAGTCAGACCCGTCCGCGGTGGCTGGTGCAGTTCGGCTGCCAGGTCGACCCCGCGTTATGGGTCCTCTATCAGGACCAAGACAAGAGCCGTCGTGGTCTGGCGGTGCCAATGCCACCAGACAGTCGGGGGGCTTCCCAAAACCAGGAGCTATGGTAAATAAGAAGTACGATGAGGTGGGGCAAATTGGCACCAGTGGGCAAAGAGAAACGACTACTCAGGTGCGCCCTCCTCTGCCTACAGGTTGGCCACAGAACCAACGACCAAACCAACAGCAGCAGGCAGATGGTTTGGGCTTTATGACATCCCTCCCAAATACTCTAGCCGCCCCACAGAAGCGTATGACAGTCAAGGATTCCCCTTTGGGTGTAAGTACCGGGGTTAATGAAGGGCCCAGAGGAAAAATGAAAGCCAATCTCAGGCCAATTCCACAAATGAACATTCCCGCTACTGCTCCTGCTCCTGCTCCTGCTCCTGCTGCTCCTGCTGCTGCGGCTGCTTCTGCCATTGATGATGATGAATTTGATGCATGGTTTGATTCAATCCGTTAAATCAAGAGCCATTGATTGTCAATGGGTGAGGTCAAGAGCTCATACTCGACATTGTGTGCTATGAATGGTGTGTTTGTTTTCCATCACTTGAGTGCTATGAGTGGTGTGTTTGTTTTCCATCACTTGTGTGCTATGAGTGATGTGTTTGTTTTCCATCACTGGTGCGATATGAATGGTGTTTTTGTTTTCACTCACTTCTCAGTCTGTTAGTGAATGTCATGGCCAAGTTTTGGTGCAAGTTGCAGGGTCCTCTGCTGTATGATCTGTCTCTTATACACATCTAGATGTGTATAAGAGACAGGTGTGTTTGTTTTCCATCACTTGTGTGCTATGAGTGATGTGTTTGTTTTCCATCACTGGTGCGATATGAATGGTGTTTTTGTTTTCACTCACTTCTCAGTCTGTTAGTGAATGTCATGGCCAAGTTTTGGTGCAAGTTGCAGGGTCCTCTGCTGTATGATTGTCCCACTGTACCAGAAACTACGGATTATCGTTTATAATCAAATCCTTCATAATCAAAAACCACTTGAAAAAAAAAAAAAAAAAAAAAAAAAAAACCACTTGCACGTGGAATAAACGGGCCGGTTGATGATGAGAACGATGATGCCAATGATTGGTGATGCTGGTGATGATGAAGATGATAGTCATGGTGATGATGGGGTGATGAATTAGCTTTTTGTAGTCATGGGCAGTCTTCCACATGATGTCTCGCGAGCAGCGTAGTGAGGGCTGAGAAGATTGCTGCTGCAGGAGTGGCACTGAGCTATTCCCTTCCCCCTCCCCCCCCCCCCCCCCCCCCCCCCCCCCCTTCCTTGAACCCCTCCAACCCCGAAATATCTGTTTTTCTTAATGATATTGGAAGCTGGGTCTATCACCCCCTTAAACCAGCTCCCCCCCCAATCAATACTTCTTTTCGTCATGGGCACCAAGGGACCCTAAGACATCAGTCATCTCCCTTTTTTTAGGATGTATGCATGTACTACCCCTCTCTACCCCTGCCTCTGGTAACCTTTTCTAACCCGTTGCTCGGAACCCCCCCCCCCCCCCCCCCCACCCACCCCTCTCCCTTATCAACTATACTTCCCCTTAAACCACCGGTACGTTTGACCCTTCCGTTGCCGAGGCTGGAAACCCATTTTACCCTTCCCTTGCCGAGGCAGGAAACCCGTTTTACCCTTCCCTTGCCGAGGCAGGAAACCCGTTTTACCCTTCCCTTGCCGAGGCTGGAAACGCCCTGCACGCCAAAGAAAACGCACCGGTGTGGGCCTTCATTTGGCTGCCGTCACCAGCCATTTTCGATTCAGAAGGCCAACCCCTGAAATTTGCGGAGCGAGCATGGCCGCATTGCAGAAGAATGACTGGGAAATGTTTCGGCACTTTAAACCCAAATTTTCTGAGAATCAATCAGAGTAACCCATCTGGGTCCATTCTTGTGTACTGTCAGAAGGTAAAAAAATAAAACAGGAGGAATTAAGGATAGCTGAGTGTCCTCCCCTTCCCCCCCCCCCCCAAAAAAAAAAAAAAAAAAAGAAAAAGAAGAAAAAAGAAAAAAAAAAAGAAAAAGAAAAAGGGGGTAGCTGAGTCGGACTCAGGTCATCTGTCACTCAGATCCTGTCTGATTGATGTTGACTTCGTGTTGTCTGAAGTCACTGTGAAGCCCTGATCGGGTGTCCCATCCTTTTTTTTTTTTTTTTTTTTTTTTTTTTTGGTTACTATTTCTTTTTCTGTGTTCTGTGTGCTTCCTGTGTGCTTCTAAGT